TGTTTTTTGTTTTTTTTTTTTAAGCCTTTCAGCTTATAAATGCATCTCTCAGTAAAGACCATCCGCAAAAGGAATTGGTTTGACCTCTGCTTCCCTAATTGCTTTTTGCTCCAAGTTGGCCTGGAAATAAATGTTGCTATTGTGTAAATTGCTGCATGGTGGAAAGAGAGCCGATGAGATCAGGTGCATAAGTTCTGTCAGGAAAATCACTTTCTTAACAGGAAAGCAGCGCCTGCTGCCTGTAACCAGAGCAGGTCAGATCAACGGACCCACCTGATAATTACCTATTTTCTGCTTCTGAGCTGCCCACAGTGCAGGTTGGAGGGTGTTTAATCTGAGATCTCTTCCGAGCTCCCTCTAGGCCCTGGAGGGGTGCTGAGGGCCAGGTAATTCAGGCTGGGGTAGGAGTGGAGAGCCAGGGCCCTCCTGCAGAGGCTGAAAGCGTGAGTGTGCGTGAAGCTGCTCTTTGCGTCGTGTGCTTTCCGTTCTTTGGATCAGCCCTGAGCACCCTGTGAGCCCCTGCCTGCAGCGTCAGGCCTGCAGCTGGGCCACAGGCTGCGTGGGGCGCTGGTGGCTGGGGAGGCTGCAGGCTCACGCACCTGGGCTGGATGTGGTGCTGCAACTTACAGTCTGCAGGCGTGCTGTGAGCAAGGGCTCAGCCTTGGGAAACCTCCACCCTGTTCTTCAATGTAAGTCTACCTCTGTGCTATCGAAATTATTGAAGTGAGAGAAGCAACAATGCTTGTGCAATTAGTACATTAATATGCTGAAGGAATCAGCATACTAATTACTTGACAGGATGAGAATAGAGGTCGGGTTCTCCAGAAGGGATGAGGGATGAGTCCTGTGGATTCAGCTCCATTAGGATGACAAAGCCTTCTCTATTTACCAGTAACACCTCCAGCAAGGTGCTTCACATTATAAGAAATCAAAATGCTTGGGTGAATGCTAAAACAAATGGCCTCTGCATTTAATGCACCCTCTGGTTTTATAATCCTGCTGAGGATTGTATCCTAAGAATCAAAGAATAGGTATGCCTGGGATACTTTGCCTCTTCTAATTGAAGCTGTGAGCAATTGGTGGTCTTTAGCACTTCCTGGTTTGAGTTGGTTTTGTCTCTCAGGATTAAGCTTTGTCCTCTTCTGTGCTTGAAATAAAGAAAAGGAAATCAAAAAAGTGAGGAAGAAACAGCTATATTTAAAAAAGCAGGAAGCATTTGATTTGGGGGTCCTTTTATGCGATTTTTATCATGTTTGCTTTTGCTAGGGTAATAAATTCTAGCAGGCCATTTAGCATAGTCATCTGAGCCACATTTGTGAGACACATCACATCTCTTCTGTTATGTGAGAGCCCATGAATAACACTGGCAGGCTGTGTACTGGAAGGGATGGGTGGCTTACTGCTCCTTACTGCAGCCTCAGAGGCAGTTCTCCAGGCAGCACAGAGCTGCCCTGAGGACACCAGCACCTGCTGGAGATATGCCTTCAGGTGCTGGTGGCTTCACCTCCAGGATCTGATGGTGACCACCTGAGAGGCCATGGATATCCTAAGGTGGGGAGGTACCTCCTTCAAATGGTCGGCGACTTCATGTCATGTTTTTATTGTATGAACTTGGAGAATTGTTGGGGACATGACGGGTTTGCTCATGTGGCCAAGGGTGCTGTGGTGTGGAGAGGACTGTCAGTCGGTGGGCTGGTGTGGTGCTGGGCATGCTGCAGTAGCACGGAGCTGCCTGCGTGGCTCCCGTGGCCATGAGAACAGAGCTTTGCTGTTCCCAAAAATAGCCCTAGGTCATTCAGTAAGAAAAAACATCTCAGGCCCAAGCTGAGACGTTGTGCTGTGGGGTGCTGCCACTTGCAGAGGGAGCACACTGTTCTGTGCTAGCGCTCACCTCTGAACCTACCTGCTTGGGTCCTGGAGCCCCTGCAGGCATTTGTTCTTAGAAGTCCTCCTCTTTCATGGGAAAGATTTTAATCTTTAGCCAGTGGTTATCCTGGCTTCAGCTTTTGGAGACTTTTGGTTCAACTTCCTAATGAGCTATGGCTATTTCTCAAAACACAAGGGGCTTTTATGCCTGCCCAACAGGAGCATGCAGCCTTGGCCAGCATCAGGCCCATAATTACTGACTGCAGCTGTCTGCAGCTTTTTTCCACGAGGCTGGGCTAGCACAAAGGATGGGCGTTAGGCTTGCCTCTCTCCCTTGGTTACTTCCCTGGCCTTTTAACAAGTTATAATTACAGAAAATTGGTTCTGTATAAGCATCCCACTGACAGTCTGTGTGTGTGAGATTCGTATCTGTAATTTGGCAATGATACTGATTATCATTACAAGGGGGGTCGTTAACATTGTGTTTGAAGAATGGCAAGGATGTCATCCTCCAAAGGATCTGGAAGATGATTCTTGTTCATTTACCCAAGTCGAGGCTGTTGTTCTTGCTTCAGCATCCTGATTTGCCTGGACAAAGGCCTTTGTTTAGATGATATAATTGTTTACCATATTCTTGCTAAATAGCAATGTGGATTCGTGGGTCCTCTTTATTTCAGTTATATTTAAATCTGAGTGCAACTTGTCTTTTTTTTTTTCCAAGCTGCTCAGCCTGTCTTTTGTGTTGATGAGTTACACACAAAAAATTCCAGTGTCCTGGCCAAACCTTCTTAACAGCTCTTCAAAAAACATCTTCAAATTGCCACTGACATCCCAGGTTCTGGGTGGCACAGCCACAGGACATGGCTGCCCCCTGGGGGGCTGATATTCGGCAGTGCCCAGGGTGGCTGAGCGGTATGCTTTCCTTGATCTGTCCCCGTTTCTGCTTCCCACAGTGTATGGGCACAACGTGAAGAGCAGCAACGACTTCATCGGGCGGATCGTCATCGGTCAGTACTCCACAGGTGCTCCTGAGTCCAACCACTGGCGCCGGATGCTCAATGCGCACCGGACGGCTGTGGAGCAGTGGCACAGCCTGCGCTCACGGGAGGAGTGCGACCGCGTCTCCCCGGCATCCCTGGAGGTGACATGAGGCGTGGCACCTGTGGTGGCCAAACCAAACAGGCGGGCAAGGCGGGAAAAAACTCCAACCTCCAAATCACCCAACCTCACTCCCACCCCACAGCAGCTCCATCGGACCGAAGCAGCTGCCGGTACCCACCTGGCTGCGTGGCCTTTGTGCAAACCCCCGCAGCGCCAACCGTGTCAGCAGCTCCTCAGTGGCACTGGCCGCCTGACTGGCCGGACCCATTGCTCCCTGCGCCCGGCACCGCTCTGCTGTCTCAGTGACAGAGCAGCAGGTGGCAGGTGGAGGTGCCACAGGACATGCCAAGATGGGGAAGAGTTCTGAGTTGCTTCCACTCTCCTTATGATCCAAATCCATGACTTGTCCTCTCGGAGATATACGTACCTGTGTGCTCTTGTTGGTGAACATCATAATTAGGCTAGGATGTTTTTTTAAATGGTAGAAGCTGTGGTGAAGTCGATTCTGGCTCCAGTTTTGTCCTTGTATTTGTTACAACAGAATTAAGCTCCTGTTAATACGTGGCCAGCACACACAGCCCTTGCTGTGCGGGGCCGACGTGCTGCCAGCAGCGGGGCCTGCCACTCTCCATAGCAGTCTGTGTGCGTCCAATAGATACTGCGATGATATAGCGAGTAAATGTCTCCAGTAGCATTTATACTTCTCACTCTTTCCTGATGTTGAGTAAAAGAAACCTGCTGTGGGTACTTCTGCAGTTAAGAATGCCCCCAATGCACAGTTTTACTTCTCTGATAGACTGCAGTGACTCCTTCTGTGTTGTGTGTGTTTACTGAGGTAGTTTTCCAGGTCAGCACATGAATGTAGGTGTGGTCAAGCTGTCCTGTTGGTTTCTTCTGTACATTATTTTTTTTTCCACGGCATATTGTCTGGTATAATGCAGATTGTATATTTATTGAAAATAAAAGTCTATTTAATTGTGCCACGCACCCTGAGGTGGTAACTGTTAGCAGAACTCATTCTTCCATTGAGCTCAGTTATGTTTATGATGCTAGTAAAGACAAGCCAGAAGGTTGGAGCAGGCTCTTTTTTTACTGTGGGTGAGCCCAGGGTTATTTGGGGGAGCAGACCTGGAGCTGGCACAGTCCTGCCTGCCTGGTGGCCAAGAGCCCTGTTCCTACTGCGTGCATTCCCAGCCAGAGCACCCTGGAGAGGCAGAATGTGATGTGTGTGCCTGCGTGGGACTGCGGGTCGCTGTGCTCTGCAGGAGCTGCCCCCAAATTATTACATATGGTAAAAGTTGTTTTCTTTTGGTTTTCTATTTTTTTTTAACCAGCGTTGTGGCTGTAGGAAAATCTGTATCTTGCTTTCAGTGCATTCACAACTCATACTAGAAGGATGGCATCCACAAGAGAGCAGGGTTTGGTGCACTCCCAGAAAAAGCTGTAAATGTGGATTGGATGCTAAGAATTAGAAGGAAACAGCACTGAATGTGTTCCCAAGAAGTGTTCCCAGTGCTGGCTGGAGGCATAATGGGGTCACAGAGTTTTATAGCATGTGTGTGTTCTGTTTCCTTTACCTGTATGCTGATACTAGAAAATGACTTGATACAATGTTGTTATTCTTTTTTAAATCTGAAGTTTATTTCCAAACACAGTTCTGACCACAGAAAGGAGACATTCTGGAGCATCCATCGCATCTCTGCTCGATGCTGGAGGTTTCCTCGTGTTGCAGGATGGCACGAGCACGGCGTGGAGCTGGCAGGCGGGCGGCAGAGTGAGCGAAGCAGCCTTGCTCTGGGCAGCACGGCCAGTGCCTTCCTCTCTGAGCTCCCGGCGCTGATAACAGCCAGCCCACAGCGCACAGCGGGGCAGTACTGGAGCGCAGCCCCGCCGGGAGCCGCATCCCCGCCCGGCTCGGGGAGGAGGGCAGCGGCGGGGAGGTGCGGGGCCGCCTCCTGCCGCGGGTGGGGCCGGAGCTGCCCCCAGTGCCGCCGCCCGCCCTGGCCGGAGCCGAGCACCGCGGAGCTGCGGCGATGGGCTGCGGCCGTGCTGTGTGCGTGCTGCTGGCTGCTGCGCTTCTGCCTGCCCGCGCCTTCCCCCAGACCAACATCAAGATCAGCCAAGGTGAGTGAGAACGCGGTTACCCCATTTTGGACAGCGAGGTCAGGCCTTCTCGGAGGGGCAGCAGTGGACTTATCAGTTTTTTCTGCTCCAGAGTTCTCAGGCATGTCAACTTCTTCTTTTGGGAGGATAAGCCCAGAGCAACCTGAAAAATGACATAAATACGTGGTTCCTCCCATTCCTCTGCTTTTTTTTCCGTATGTAAGTCTGAAGCATGGAGTGACAGCAGCTGCTCTGTGCCACTTACATGTGTTGCAAACTTGTTAACGGGGCTGCATGGAGGTGTGCCTGTGCACAGTGCAGCACAGTTTGTTTGTAGGGCTCTGAGCAGAGAGGGAGAGTAGCACTGAGTGCTACTCGTGAGGAAAGGGATCAATACTTGGCTGCCAGATGCCTCATCAATGGCAGCTTTCCCCCCACTAATTAAGGAGTACAAAAATGCAAGATAACTGCTATCTGTTACCTCTGGCTGTAGCAGAGCCGCAGGGGGCTGCTGCTGTTGGCTGCGGCAGCCTCACATCTCCGAGAGTGTGTGACATGAGATTCCAATCTGGAAGGACAGCTTGGTTTTATTATAGGGTCTTAAAAAGCAGAGCTCTCTGTCTGAGAGGATGTTGCTTTTCTGATGCTCTTCAAATGTTCTTTAAAGTTTTACTTGGAAATCTGTGACTGGTACCTAAAACAAAACAAAAAAACAGCAACACAAAAACAAATGACTGCAGGGTGTGCAAAACATTGCCCAGTTACTGTCTGATCTCCATGTCCATCAGTGGCTGCCAACCCTCAGACACAAGGGAACTTCCACCCTGCTGAGGCAGGGACTCATGCAGTCAGTGTTGTGTCTCCTTCAGTAGCATCCTGATTAAAAAAAGCCTCAGGAAAGTGCCTGGGGATTTCTCAGTTTGTTGTTGGGAAGTGAAGCTTTCTGCCAGAGCTGTGCCAGCTTCTGCATGGCTGTGACACAGGGTTTGTCCCGTTACGGGGATCCTGATGGCTCTGAGGTGGGTCTCAGCAGTAAGTAAATAGAACTCTAAACAAATGGAAGGAGCGCGAAGCTCTTTTTCTGACCCTACATTTTTCCTTTCCAGCTTTTCTGGATGTTACCTACCTAGTGTGGATCTTACCTTCAGTCAAGTTCAGACCAGAAATTTGGGGACAAAGGGCTGACGTGCCATGGGGCTGGCAGGAGGCTGGTGTTGCAGATGGTAGCTTTGCTTCAGGTGCTGCTCTGGCCCCTGGGAGCTGATGCTACTGAGGGGGACGTTTTTCTGGGGGTTTTAAATCTGAGGCCCTGGTCAGAATATGCCCCACTCCTATTTACATTAAGTATCGTTTTCAGCTGCTGGCTTAGGTTATGAGGTTTTCCTATAGAGCTGTGAGTGTGCTTATATACTCACGCATGAAATTTCTTGTGGCTTTTCTGCTAAAAATAGCTCCTGAAGTTCCCAGATCACAGCAGCACCCCCAGTTGTCGCTGCCTGTAAATGTAAGAGCAGAAATCCTCCTCCAAAGAGAGCACCAGAGCCTCTGATCCTGACCCAAGAGAGAGGATGCTAATTAAATGTTGACCTCCCTTCTTTTTCTTTTTGGTATATTTAACCTTAAATTCCTTCTGGCACCTCTGCTTCGCTGAAGCTCATCAAATTAATGCTACCTAATGGGAAGCAGCACAGAATAACAAAGGAAGGCCGTCTGCATCTCCACTCAGTTTTGGCTGCTTTAGACAAGAGAGGGGCAGTGATCCTTCAGGGCAGGGGGTGCTGAGGGCCCCAGTGTGATCCGGGAAGGGAGAGAGTTGCTGGTCTCTGCCCTGTGAATTTTGCCACCATGCTGCTGGAGGTGAAGAGTTTGCCAGTGTTTTTTGCACCTCAGTAAAACAGCTGGGGGCTGCAGCCTTTTCCCTTGGATCCAGTCCTTTGCCCCCACTCTTTGTGTGACGCCTCAGGAAATCACATCAGCTTGTGGCATTCCTGGTCCTTCTGCTCTATGGCTGCGACAACAATGGCTCACTTTTCTTAGGGCTGTGCTTTTCCCATCGCAAGACAAGCTGGATGCCATCCTGAGCCACACATCACTGCTGAGCTGCCTGGGTCCTGGCTGCACTGCTCTGAAGCTGCTCCTCGTCTTATTTTGCCATACCAACATTGCCTTCACTGCCCCCTCATCACATGTGGCTGTTGGTGGGGATCTGCTCTGCTCACCACTGACTGACCCATGGTGGCAGTCAGTTCCCTCCAGGCTCTTCAACGCCGGAGGCCCTTCAGCAGTGCCTTGACCTCTCTGGCCTTGAGCCTGTTACCTGCTTGGGTAGCTCAGTGGCATCTGCCTCTCCCAGGGCTGGGCTGTGCCCTAAGCCCTGCTTCTGACCCCTCAGTCATTCCAACAGGGCCCTGGGGGGAGGCAGGAGCTGATGCTGAGGGAGCTGGGGCACATCAAGGCTCAAAACGCAAGGGCTATGGGGGTTCAGCCTGTTTGCTATGTGATTTTGGGACATGCACATGTATTAGTGTTAGTTGGTGTATGCTCTTTCTCCTTTGTTCCACGTAAAGGAGGCTGCAGAGGGATGTGTTCATGCTGCTGTGAATTTTACATTATGTAAGGGCTCCAAAAATGCCTCTTGTGCCCCCAAAATAGCCTCACTTGAGGAACTTCTCTTGCCCTGCTGAAGAGCTCTGCAGGGCCCCTCTTATCTCCCAGGGAGGCAGATAGAGCAGCACTGCACCCCTTGGCCTCTCCAGGGCTATTTCTGGCCCACAACACAAGGCGTGCTGGTGTGCATGGCTGCCACTGGGCTAGGACAGGAGCTGAGAGGGAGCTGTGGCCTTCCAGGAGGTACAAGCAAGAGAGCAGTGCATGGCCACAGCCCTGCTGCTGTGGTGCCAGCCCCATCCCAGCACAGTGGCCCTACTGGTGTTTGATGGAGCCAAGAGGAGCTCTTATCTCGACTTCAGTAGCACCAGTGAGTATTTTCATTTGGAGTACCCCATGCATGATACCACGTCAAACAGGCTTGCAGTGCAAGTCTCAACATTCTTCTAGGTGGCCACTAGAGTAGGGAAACTCATGGCTTTTTGCAAAATTTGTTCGGGCTTGTGCAAAATTTTGAATGGCTTCGGCCAAAGCTGCTTTTTTTTCCACTTGTATGGCTTTGGTTTGTTGTCAAGGAGCAGGGGTGGCAGTTGCTTCTCCTACATCTCCTGTGTGTCCTTGCTCTGCCCCCAGCCCTGCCGGAGCCTGTGCATGCCTACTCCTGCCCTCTTTTCTGGACGGAGTATGAAGGGCACTGCTACCGCTACTTCCCCATCAACAAAACCTGGGCCGAGGCCGACCTCTACTGTGCAGAGTTCTCCATTGGCATCAGGTCAGCGAAGCTGGCCTCCATTCACAGGTGAGAGCCGCCAATTGTCCTCTTCCTTCTGGGAAAGCGGGGACATGGGGACCGCATCCAATTCCATGCAGCAACCAAGGCCAGCCTGCTGTCTTGAGCATGCCAAGCTGGGGAAGAAAATGCTTTTTGCTATGCTGGCAGAAATAATGCTGTAGTGCTTCCTGAATCTCCCGCAGGGTGTTTCTTGTACCTGAACTGGGGTAGAAATCTGATGTGATTACATGGGCTCTGCTCCTCCACTCCTTGTCCTCTACCACACAGCTTTTGCAAAGGCCTGGCACCAGATCACCACAATTAATAGACAGGGAGCCATTTGTCCAGCTCTGGGAAGGATGGTGATGTCATGTCCCTGACCCTTGCCAGTGGTCACTTCTCACTGCTGCACACCTGCTCTTTTGCCAGCTGGGAAGAGAATGTCTTCGTGTATGATCTGGTGAACAGCCGCGTGCCCGGCATCCCCACTGACATCTGGACAGGGCTCAATGACCTACGGCAGGTGAGCAGCCCCAGTCTCTGCTTCTTTTCCTGTTTTCCTGGTTGTTGCAGTAAGTAGGTGTGTTGGCAGCCTCCTTCCTGCTTAGGTTTTCTTTCCTTGGAAACTGGAGAATTATTCTGTGGTTTAGAGAATAGCCAAGTCTATTGCTGTCCTTTTCGTAGACTGAAAATTTCTCCAATGTCAAAAATCACCAAGTTTCTTATGATGCTCTGCAGCTTTTAAAAAACTGGCCTGTTGGAGATATTTCCTCACCATATTACTAGATTATATAAAAACTGAGATCATCAGAACCATCACACATCAGCAATTCCTCAAAAAGAAGAAGAAAAGGAGGAGAGGGAACACAGAATTTTGCACTCTTCAGTTGCAAGACTGATTTCAAGAGAACCCCTGTGCAGTACTGCAGTCTTGTGGAGCTGCCTTCCACTGATGTTTTATGGGCACTTAAGAAAAGCAAAATGAGCCTTATCATTTATTACTGTAGCTTGAATTATAGTATGGAGGGATATTAAATCAACGTACAACAGGAGGGATATTGAATTGCTTGAGCATGAGCAGAGAAGAGCAATGAAGCTGAGGGAGGACAAGAAAACAAGTTATGAGGAGTTGCTGAGGGAGTGGGGGCTGCTCAGTCTGTGGTCTCAAGTTGTGCCAGGAGAGATTTAGATTGCAAATCAGGAATAATTTTGTCGTGGAGAGGGTGGTGAATCATTGGAATGGGCTGCCCGGAGTGGTGGTGGAGTCCCTGAAAGTATTTAAGAAAGGAGTGGATGTGGCACTGAGGGGCATGGATTGGTGATAGGACATAGTAAGTCAGGCTGATGGTTGGACTTGGTGATGTTGAAGACTTTTCCAACCTCAGTGCCTGTATGGTTCTATGCTATAAGTTTGTGGTGCAGATTGCTAGTGCTCCCTGAGGTAGGTCTTCAGCTGTATAACCTCAATGAGTTGCTTGCTTGGTTCTCCATGTGTCCCTGTAGTGTCTTGCACCCATCCCCATTTGGGTATGTGGCAATGGGTTGCCTTGGGACAGGGTCTGAGGGGCACTGCTCCGCAGTGGCTGCACCTCTGCCTGTGCCCCACAGGAGGGTCACTTTGAGTGGACAGACGGCACCTCCTATGACTACAACTACTGGGATGGCAGCCAGCCCGATGACGGCATCCACTCCATCCCAGAGGAGGAGGACTGCGTACAGATGTGGTACCGGGCCAGCAGCGGTAAGCACTGCAGTTCAAGGGCACACCGAGTCCTATTTGCATGCAAATAAAATCTGTCTGCTGCTGCTCGTGCTTTTCTGAAGAGGCTGCTTGGTAGGGTGACGATTTGCATTTAAAATCTTTATTTTCTGCTTTTCTTCACAGAGCAGGGTGTTTTCTCTATAACCACACTCACACACAGGCTTTCCCTCTGCTTACATCCATCTTCAGCAGCTAGGGGGGAGCATCACTGGAGAATCACTAAATTTAGTCAAAGTTAATGTGTTGTGATCTCCCCCCCGCGTGCACAGCTTGCTGCTAAGCACATCCCTTGGCCAGCTTCCTCTTCCATTGTCACCATGGGCTCTCACTAAAGCACAGCAAGACCCTGCTTGTGTGAGGAGCCCAAAGGCATCCAAGGGCTGGGTGCTTTGCCTCACGCCTTGTTTTTGGGGCAGCGCTGCGCTCCTGGAACGACAACGCCTGCGGCCGGACCTTCCCCTTTGTCTGCAAAATCCCCTCGCTGGCCCTGGACTGAGCCTGACTGTGTGCCCAGCTTCGTGCTGCCTCTGCGGGGCAGCGCGGGACGGAGCAGGCCTCGTGCTCTTCACCTCTGGCCCTGGAGCTCTGTCCGCTGACAAGTGAGTTGCAGAGCAATGGAGGCCACCCGGATTTAAGCCTGGGGTCGGGTTTAAAATAAACTCTCACAGGAAATCTGTAGGAAATCTGTTATTTTATCAATGCAGAAGAGTTGTGGCTGCAGGTAAAGAATTGGGAGAAAGGGGATGGGCTGTTGCTGGGCACTGTGGGGTCATGATGATGGCTTGGGGTGGGGGGGGGGGAACAGCTTGGAGCAGCTGTGCTGTGCTGTAAGGGGACAGCAAGTGTGAGTTACACATATAGCATGCACACACGTGCCAAACGCTGTGGCTCTGCCATCAGCTGCAGTTGGATTGGTCTTCCTGACTTTAAAGAGCAAATGCAATATTAATTCTTCCTAATTGCTTCCTAAATGCAATATAAGCTTGTCAGTAATATGTAAAACATAATTATCATCACAGGCTTTTGGATAGGTTTTAGGTAGGATCAATTATCCCTTAAGAAACAGCTTTAAGACACAGGACCTTCTCTGCAGGCTGTTCCAGGCAGGACAGGGTCCTTTTCCTCATCTTGACACAAAACCAAGACAAATCCTTTGCAAAGATGAGTAAAAAACCCCACATAAAATTGCTTTGTTGTCCCTGATGTCACCAGCTGAGACACATCTCAAAGCTCATACTTTCCAGAGTGATTGTATTAGTGCAATGAGGTCAGCAGGGCTGAGACAGCTTTACCCTGAACCCTCCTCTGCTTTTGGCTAAAATACATTTTCTCTCTGGGACCTTGGAGTGGAGCTGCAAAACTTGGTGGGGGTACATTTGTAGTTATAAGTGGAGCTGTGTGTTGGAGCCAGTCTTAAAAATGAGGAAATACTGTCACCCCAGGTACGCATTTAAAATATATTTAATTATATATGTATACTTTTCAGCAGTTTTCTGCCAAAATGCTGTGTGGTAGAGGATGTTCACCCCGTCCATTTTGTTATGGAGGTGAATGCCCAGGGTCCCTCAGCACAGCCAGGCTGGAGGACCCAAAGAGCAGATCCACCTCCAGAGTACCTGGGCTGTGCTGCTGGTTTGGCTGTCTCAATGGCGCAGAGATGCTGAGCGTCCCAGCGCTCTACCTGGGAGATGCTCTCCTCTCCATCCCCATTGCCCAGCTCTTGGAGGGGTGAGTCCATGCTGCTGATGCGTTCATTTCTTTGGTTGTGGGTGCATGCAGAACCTTACACTCAGCAGAAGCCCCTGGTCAAGACATGAGATGGATGGATGGGCACCCAGTGTTTAGTCAGACTGCAAGATTCAAGAAGACAAAACCCATTTATTTCCCTCAAGAACTACAAACCTTTTCTATTATATGGTGATTTGCTTATTGCTACTGCAACTCACCCATGGGCACATGTGGTTTGGTTGTTTTTTTGGGGGGGTTGTTGTGTTTTTGTTGTTGTTATTTGTTCTGTTTTTTTGTTTTTCTTTTAGTGGATATTCCTGACCCATGGAATTGGTGGTTTTGGAACAAATGGTGCTGCTGGGAAGCCAAGTGGCTGCAGTGAGGTGGCGAGGAGTTGTCCTGTGAGGGGCTTGCATCCTCTGGATGCTGGGAACACTTGCAGCAAAAGAGCAATGGTCACTGATGCCCTGAGTTGCAGCAGTGAAATAAGACTGATTTCTGTGCACAGCATGCATGCATTACCTTCTCTCCTCACTTTCCTTTCTGAGAGTCTTCCTTTTATGCATGAAAATAATTATTTTAGGGTAGCTTTTGCATGTTGGACAGGAGGTAATGCATGTGTTTTTTCCAGGCTTTTTTGCCTGCTGTCATACAGCAGTGCATTGCACACTGATAGCAATGGTACGTAAAGAAACCAGCTGTAAAAGCAAGATGTTCCTGGTCCCAGTGAATTCAGCAAATGCTGAACTGAAGCAGCACCTGGTGCTGGGGCTGCCTCCCTGCACTGCTTCTTCCTGCTCGCTCTGTTTGCAGGAGCTGGGAGCTCAGCACCATGGGGCCTGGCATGCCTACAGCCAATGCACCCACCTTTCCCCGCAAGTGGCTTGAGACATTTCCAAAAACAGGTTTGAAAAGTTCCCTTGGGAAAGCATTTGAAGAGTTGGGCCCTACCACGGCTAAAAATACTGCTAATGGGGTGAGCCTGTGGAAGCTGTCGGCTCCAATTAATGTCTTCATTTCCAGGTAAAGAGAAGTGAACTTGCATGACCAGAACGTCGAACTGGAGTTAATAGGGGTGATGTTTTGCAAACCTCTGCTGCTTTCACCTCAGGCTCCAGGATACTTACTTTCAAAAAAAAAAAACAGCCAACCACCCAGTGCTTCTTCCTTTGCTGCTGCCTTCTGTGTCACAGCAATCACACAGGGCTCATGGGACGAAAGGAGTGTTCTGCTCCTGAATGAACTCTTGGATCATCAGGGTTGATGCTTGGCAGATGATGAGATGTGCCTATGCCCTTGGTGTTTGCCCAGCTGGGAGGAGCTGCAGCTCTTTGGGTTGAACATTATTTTAGTTTTCCCGTGCCCAGTGTCCATGCCCCCAGCTCCTCACCTTGGCTGTCCCTGTGTGTGGAGGCCAGCAGCCTGGGAACCCCCAAAGCAATAGATGCAGGAGAGTCCTCTTAGCTCTCCAAGTGTTTCAGGAGCTCAATATCTTCCTTTGCAATGTGTGAACTCAGGGTAAGTTTATGACATAGTCTGGGAGTGAACAAAAATGATCATCTATTGGTGACAAATGCCTTTATTCTCCTGTGCCCCATTTCTTGGTCTGTATAGGTGCTATTGTCCCCACTCAGCCCCAGCAGGCAGGAGGCATGGGACCACCTGCACACTTTGTCATTTAATCCTGGTTTTATTTTATTTTATTTTTATTTCCTGAGATTCTCTGCTGTGCGTGGAAGGAAGCTTCAAGGACAAGCTGCAATCTCTGGGTCACGCAAACATTTTGGTGCTGTGCCATGGGGAGGGCAATGGGAACCAAGGGGCTGGCTCAGTGTGTTTGGTTCATACTGCCCACATCACTCACTGCCAATACCATCACATTCTGACTCCCTGAGATTGTGGAAGACACCTGCCCAGAGTCAGCTCTGTGTTTGGTCCAGACATTGCATGGGCATTCAGTACTCCATGATGTCTGTGGGTTTGCAGCTCTTCTGGTGCGGCACAACTATGTGAGAAAGGTGATTGGGTCTTTTATTAAATGCTTTTGCACGGCAGGGGCTTGTCAGCTTGGCTTGAAACTTTCCTCTCTGGTTGCAAGTCATCAGAAGTGCAGATCTAATGAGAAAGTAATGAGTTCCTGCTGGTAAACCCAGTCAGCATTGGAGGTCACTGTGTCAGCTGTAGGTGATGCGGTGGAGAAAGGGACCTCAGCTTGGCAAGGCTACTGCCACCTGTTTGTCCCCCAGCCTGGGCAAGGCTGTGCTGGGCAGGGTGCAGGAATAGGGCTGCTGCTCAGCAGCGTCTGAGAGGTGCCTTCCAACACGGTCATACTGCAGTGCTCCTGCTGCTTCAGCTCAACAGAGCTGTGCTTTGTCATCTGTTAACAGACAGCCCGGCTCTTGGGTTACCACGGCAACTGGATATTTGCTCATTTGTATTTCTTGAAAATTATTCCTTCTTGTTGATTGCAGTGTTTGTGGAACTGCTTGTCAGGGTGCTGAGGTACCAGCACCTGTCAGCACCGTGTGCAAGTGGACCAGTGCTGCTTCAGAGTGGGCAGAAACTCTGCTGGCTGTGATGTGCTGTAACTGCATCCCTCCTGCACAGATGGGTACCATAGCCCATGGGCAGGGTGTTTGCTCTGCTCATCCTACCTGACCTCTGCTTGTTGCATTGTGAAGCCAGTTGGGTAATGTACAACACAAATTGCTGGAGACCTTCCTTAGGAGGGGAAAGGAAAGCATTTGCAGGATGAGGGTTTTTCATGCGTGGAAACGCCTGCAATAAAACACCCCCCTTTGGGTACTCTCAGGCTGAGGGATGACTGTCCCTTGTATGATGGAGAGAGGAGATGGGGGCTGGAGGGGCTCCGGGGAAACAACTGCTGCTTCCATCCATCCAAGCAGGGGGTGGTCAGCATTGTCCCCCCCATCCCCTCCCTCTGACTACACCCATCAAACACTGAAGGGGAAGGCACCAGTAGAAGTGAGAACCCACTGAAATGTGGGTTCATTCATCATGGTGAGGGCAAATAGCCTCAGAAAAGGGTCATGGTCTGCATTAATCTCCGTACCATAGAAGGCACTGTAGAAAGTCACAGGCCCAAGTAAATGCTTGAATGGAAATAATGGAGGTGTTCGTCTAATATGGAGAATTGCCCTGGATTTGGCGGGGTTGTGAAAGCGGTTACAATTTCTAGTAGCAGCAAGATTAATGGTTATGATGAAATCTTAAACACCAGCTTTGTACTCTGCCCTTTCAATACCCATTAACTCCTTACAAAGGCTCTGCTGTAGCTATCCAGGGGAGCTGGCTGTCCTTATGCATGTAACCCACCCAACCTCACATTCAGCTTTGCTGATAGGGTTTGCTGTGTTACTTTTTGCCCTGGTCCCTACTTGTGCACTCTAGAGCTGCCAGGGTGGGACTTAAGAGGATATTTAGGCCAGATGTTAGGTAGAATTTATTTACTCAGAGGATGGTGATGCTCTGGCTCTGCTGCCCGGAGCTGTGGGTGCCCCATCCCTGGAGGTACCCAGTGCCAACCTGGATGGGGCCCTGGGCAGCCTGAGTTGGTGAGGGACAGCCAACCCTCAGCAGGGGGTAGGAACTGGATGGACTTTAAGATCCCATCCAATCCAAGCCATTCTGTGATTCTATGACTTTTGGGAAGGATGTAGTTTTAGGTGGAGCAGGCAAGCTGATACTGAATGACGCTTGCAGTTTCCTCCATTTCTAATTGGAGCATCCAGCCATGCAGGGCACCAAATGCCTCTCAGAGCAAGGATTTTAACTCTAAAATGCCAGCACAGCCTCCTATCATCTGCCAGCTGCCTGTCCTCTCCTGCATCTCATTCTCCATTTTCTG